CTTCTGCCGAACTGGAGACAAAACTTGTGCAATAAAATATTGGCAAATTATAGGCAAATTCTTCATTCCTTGAGGCAATGATTTCCAGTGGTATCTCTGCATAGGTTCTCTTCTATTGATGACTGGAACAGAAAACGCAAATCTTGGAGCATCATCGGGATGAAGTGGGATGTGGACAAAGCGGTCCTTTAAATCAATGACAACAAGTGGCCAATGTTTCAGGATCATTGATAAAAAAGGAAGTCCATATTGAAGAGGTCCCATGTCTTCAATCACTTCATTGATTCTTCTCAGATCATGAAGCAACCTCCAGGAGTCTGATGTCTTTTTGTGGGTGATGAATACTGGTGAATTCCAGGGACTGTTCGTGGGAGTGATGTGACCTTGCTGTAATTGTTCCTTTATCAATTTTTTAAGAATATTTAATTTTTTCTCTGTTAAAAGCCATTGGTTAATCCATATAGGATGATCAGTTTTCCAGTTCAGCTTTAAAGTGGCAGGTTTTGAAGTGGTTCCCATCACAGGCCTACTTCCAGTTTTGCTCCCCACTGGGATAGGACGTCTCTCCCCCAGAAAGTAAGAGGCTTCTGAACATCGCTGTTTTTCCTTCAGGACCTGTAATGTTAATCATGCATTCACTTTTCAAACACACAGTAGCACCTCCAATCCCTGTGAGGGAACCTGAAGGAGCTACCAAATCCCAATCAAAAGGCCAAAATATGTGAGAAATTACAATGTCATCTGCACCAGTATCCGGCATACCTGTAATATAAATTGTTTTACCATGATGAGTCAGGCTACTAGTCAATTTTGGTTGGCTGTGGCCCACACATTTCACCCAAATGACCTCAGGACCTGAGGTACTAAATGGCACAGACATAACTGAATTCTCTGGAAAGTTGTTTTTTTTGGGTGTATTCATGGGTAAAAGAAATGCAATAGCTATAGGTGTTTTTGGTGGTATAACCATAGGAACATTAGGTGAAAGAGCTCAAATTACTAGCTCCTCATTACAATTTACTGGAACAACAGTTGGAAGGACTGAAAGTCCTAAAATTTTGTTGCTGGCTTTGCCCAGAATCAAAAAATCTTGCCTTTGTTGAAAGAAATTGATAAATCCAGTAGAAATGCTTCCATGACAAAAATTATTTAAAAGGTATATCAATTTTGAGAGGGCCAATTCTAACCTTGAGGGTATTGAGCTGGGACCATTTGAGGAATGGTTGACTGAGGTAGGAATGACTGAGGTACCAATATCATTTGACTGGGTAATTGACTGTAAGGAGGAATTACTACTTGTGTTGAAGCGCAGTGGTAGTACACGCTCTATTTTGAGTTTAACAGCAAAGGCCTGCCATCAATGTCAAATTGAGAGTGACAGTATTTAGCAAGATGCTTCCCTTTCTGACATCGAGGGCAAATAGAAAGTTGTTTAGGTTGGATTGTTTTTGTAGGACAATCCTTTTTCATGTGTCCTGATTTACCACAAGCAAAGCAACATACCTTTTTATCAGAGTCCAACTGTACAGTACCAACAGATTTTTCAAAAATTTTTTTGTTTGCTTTTCCAGGACCTTTTCGAGCTTTTCCATTTGTTGTCCCAAATTTTCTCCCAAAGCTTTAGCCAAATTATCTCCCAATGTTTTTCCTAACTTTTCTTGGGATTCTGTAATTTGCTTTCCAAAAGCATTAACTTGCACATTAGCAAGATGTTGTGGAGAAGTGAACTTACTGCAAGCTGTTAGCATCTGTGTTACAGTTGGAGGCTGATCAGGTAAAGTTAAAATAATTTTTCTACATTCTTCATTAGCCTTGACAAAACAAGGTTTTGGATAATACAGGAATGAGCTTGCTCATCTGGACAGTGTTTTTCAACTGCTTGGATCAATCTATCTAAGAAAGAGACAAAGGATTCCGATTCACCTTGTCTGATAGCAGTATAAGCATTTACATGGGTACCAGCTGGCTCAACTGAAAACAAAGCTTTTCTAGCAGCATCTGTGAGCACAGGCCGAGGCAATTCTGCTGCCTGATTTTCTGGTCTATGGAAAGGTGGATCACCTGCTAGTTGGACAATATCTATGTTCTCATAAGGAGAGTTTTCATATTTTTCACCCAATTTATTAATAAGGTTTTTCCATTGTAATTCCCATAAGAGATATTGTGAATTGGTTAAGATCAGGGAAACCGCATTTCGACAATCAGCAGGGACTAAGTCATAAGAATTAAATATACTTTTCAATACATTGTTAAAATAAGGCGAAGAGAACCCACTGTCTTTCAAAGCCTGACGGAGCTCTTTTATATCATGGTGAGAAAGAGTTTCATCATTATGACCATACCTTACCGATAAGGTGAGGAGTTGTTTATTTGAATTCAAATTTTTTTATAAATTTTGACTAATATTAGTCCAATTAGGTGGTTGCAGTGGAAGGTTTACCTCTGATTTAGACCCTGTTTTGTTTTTCCCTCTCATCACTCCTGTGTCTGACCCAGAAGAACAGGTAGTGTTGTTACAACAATCAGCTGTCCCAGGAACCCTGCCAAGAAACTCCAAGTTCTTGGCGGTAGCATTGCTGTAGCAACAGGCCTCCCCGGGGAGCCCTGCCAGGGAGGAGGGAGGAGGAGAGCTCCACTTTCCCAACATCGCCCCCCCTATTGGAGGTAGCAGCTGCAGAATGCGTTGTATCAGGTACAGAAAGAAAGCCAGAGCCCTCTAAATCATGTCTCAGTTCACTAAATTGGATCCTTTTAGATTAATACAAATTGGGGTGCTCTTGAGCTGCAGATCCCAAATTTGTATTTGTGACACTTTCCAATGAACTGTTAAAAGTTCCACACCATATCCCCACCAGTGGGGATGCAGCTGGAAAACTCTCAGTTCCAAACTGCAATTTTGACATTCTTTTTTCCCCCCCAACAGCGAATGAGACAGGCTTCAAGGCTTCCAAACGATCTGTCTGTATCTCCGCAGAAACTTTCCTGAGCTCTCCCACCTCCACCCCATCCATCTCTCTGCGCAGAGACATCCCTGCCCTGTCCAACCCCTGGCTGTCACGTGTCACGTCCTTCTGCCCTCCTGCCTGCTCCCCTGCAGGCAGAGCCAAATCCAAAGCCCCCCCTCCAGCTACAACCGGAGGCTGGGGGGTTACAAATGGCAAAAATCCCGGAAGGGGCTTGAGGGAAGAAGTAACAGGAAAAGAAGTCTCTGAACTGCAAAGCAATCTGTCCGCCTAAGCCCAATATGAGGGAGTAACCTCTTGAGAAGGGGAAACTGTGGCAGGGGTGACTCCCACAGCCCCCTGGCCAGGCAGAGCGGATCCAGAGCCCCACTCAGCAAACCCAGCCTGCAACACTTCCAAACAAGACCCGGCCGCAGCCTACTTGGAAGAAAAGCAGGGCACAGAAACAGCAGCCACTGTTTTGCTAATCTTCCCCAAACTCTCATCTCCCGGACCCATTAGAATCCCAGCCTCCCCAGAACATGACCATGGACCCCCCAGATTCTCAGAGCACAAAAAAAATCCTGAAAGCTTTCCTGGGAGCCCTGGGGGTGGATGATTTCGCGGAGGGATGGGAGGACGCCCGGTGGTAGCATCAGTGATGCAGGGAATTCCGGAAGAAACAAAGCACACAACTGAAGCTGGAAGCTGATTGGATTCCCCCTTCTCAGGGGTCGGGGTGTTGTTCACACTGCCTGGGGAAACCCCGGACATGCCAGGAGAAGGGAAGGAACCCCGAACAAAACCCGACACCCCCCCCAGAGAAGGACGAAGACCCAGCAGCAGTCAGAATTAAAGTTTCAGAACCAGGTGTCCTGTTTTGGTACTCAAGAAAGTCTTTGCTAAGATCATTTGGTTTGAAACTTTCCATTAAAGCTCTGGAGACAGGCGTTAGTTTTACCAAAGCCTCTTCTTTTTTAAGAGAGAACAGATTGTAAATTTTCCAGTTTATCTGGTCCCAAAAAATCACAGGTAAAAGCAGACTTCAAGTCTATATTTTAAGTATTTGCCTTTACCCAGATGAATAAGTCTTTTAGTTCATGTTTTGAGATATCTGAATGTCCTTTATCCTGTAAAATTGTCTCAAGCCAGTAAAAGACATCCCATTCTGTTTTAGATAGAAAACTCCCATCATGATGCCCAGGAACCACTAAAATTGCTACTGGATGCTTACAAGCATATAAGCTACTGACGACGAAGGGGATGAACCATTCTATTTATTAACACCTGGGCCTCCAGCAACCGAGTAATCCACAATCTTATTTTTTATTCCACTAGTCTAACCGTCGTCCTCACAGAGGAACACCATTTATCGCTGGCCGGGAGCTATATACAAGTCACAAATGGGACGGGACTGCGGTGGTATGCATCTTCAGCTGTTTAGTTTTTAGCATCAGTTTCATTACATGGCTATTTCAATGGGAAGATGCCAGCTCACATCCAGGCAACAGACCAAGAACTTAATGTTACAACTTACTTTATAAGCTTTTTGACCAGTCACACAAAGCAAAAGCATATTGACAGTAGTGATAGTAAAAGGGTTTTAAAATCATGGGGATTTAGGGTTAACAGGAAAATAAGCTTAGTAGGCCCTGGAAAAATAAACACCCTAAGCACATGAAGAACTTGTACTTGCTAGAACTGCACCTGTGTAGCTAGTACATGATAAATGATATAATTGTTAGATGTGACGATTGTTTAGTAATTAAATATAATTACTGTTTAATCTTAAGAATAATCATGAGAAACTGTGGTCAGGGACCTAAGAAAGATCATGAGAAACTCATGTCAATGTATACAATATAGCAATATAATTTTAATAATTAATATGTAACTTATATAATTATAGAATATAAAATATGTTAAGCCCGAAAGCCATGTCGGAGTCACATTTGGGTCTGTACCCCCGACTCCCAGAGCTCTTAATAAAAGCACCTGCATATAATCATATTCCATTGATTATGTGTGTTTCTGAACGCTAACATTTTCGTGACCCAGATGGGACCCTGCGAGCTCTGCTGAGGACCCTGCAACACAATCACTCTCCAGCCGGCACCGAGGGATTCTCGGGGAGCCCATCGGTGCCGTGACCCTCCGCCACTCACAACGTCCCCTGGAGAGAGGTAAGGTTCTTTTAATTTGGTGTGGAACCTGCCAATAAGAGCAGTGAAAGCTACGCTCGGTTGGGTTAAAGGAATTCCTGTGGTATTGCCTAGGCGTTGTCCATTAGACTTCGCGAAAGTGTTGCAGGTTTGGCATTCTGTGGTGTCTTGTAGCTGTAATATGGAGAAGCTTAAAGGTCTCTTGGTCAGCAATGCCCCCATACCACGTTCTCCTTTGGGGTGCTTATTAGCACATTGGAAACAAGGCAATTTTGGGCAAGACTTACATAGGGGTAAGTTAATTGATTACTGTAATACATGGTGGCCAGAATATGTTTTGGAAGGTGGTGAAAAATGGCCACTGAATGGAACATTACAACATAACACTATTTTGCAAATGATGTTGTTTTGTAAACATGAAGGAAAATGGGATGAGGTTCCATATATTGATTTGTTTTTCTACTTGTAAGATAAGCCAGAATGGCAGGTTGAATGAGGTTTGATGGTAGTTAAGGCATCTACAAGTGATAAGTGTGAGGTTTGTATGAAGGAGAAACATTGTTTAGAATATTTTGCATTGAAAGAAAGTCTGAGTTTGAGGAACGATACAGATGTTGATTTACAGGTAGCCCCCGCAAGACCAAGAGAACCTAATCCTATCCTGCCTGCCCCTACCCCTACTTCATCCCCTGCTTCACCCAATCCTATTTTGTCTAGTCCTATTTCACCCACTCAAACCCTCTCTCCCGATCACCTATCATCCCTCTTTCACCATTACCTGACCCCTCTTCCCCTAGAAATGCTCTAAATTTAACTGTGATGCATAGAAGGGGGGAGGATGAAAGTGAAGGAGATAGTGAGAGTAGAGATGAAAGTGAATCTGCGATACCAGTATCTCATAGGACTTGGAATCAGTCAAAGCCCACCCCAGTCTTGGCCAGAAAAGATCTGGGTAGACAGAAGAGGACTGTGATTGCCCCCTTATGACAGGGAATAGGAGCAGAGGGGCCAGTGTTTGTAAAAGTACCTTTTTCCCCTGCAGATTTAGTAATTTGGAAACAATCGGCTGGAACTCATAGAGAAAATCCTGATGAAGTGGCAAGAGTGATAAAAATTATTATGAAAACTCAGAATGCAGATTGGGATGATATACAAGTAATATTAGACACCCTAATGGATTCTACAGAGAAAGAAATGGTACTTAAAGCAGCCAAGGAAAAGGCAAGGCAGGATATCATAAACAGGCTTGTAATGGGAACACTAGATGATAATTTTCCAACCAAGGATCCAGGGTGGGATCCTAATGTATCTGGGCATGTGCAGAGACTGAAGAAATATCAGGAGTGGGTGCAGATAGGTGTTCAGCATGCTGTACCTAAGACTATAAATTGGTCTAAATTATATGAGATAAGGCAGGAGAAGAAAGAATCCCCTACTGTGTTTTTGGAAAGGCTTAAGGAAGCAGTGAGAAAATACACAGATCTCCAAATAGATGCACCACAAGCAAAGGTTCAGATCGCTCTCATTTTCCTGGGGCAGTCACAGGATGACATTAGGAGAAAACTGCAAAAACTAGAAGGGGAAGAATTAAGAAATCTGGACAAATTGCTTGAAGTAGCTTGGAAAGTATACAATAACAGGGAAAAGGAAATAAGTAAAAGGCAACAGCAAAACCTCTTGGTAGTAATACAAGGGAAAGGAAACCCAGGCATCAGAGGGAGGGGCAGGGGTGGCTGTGGACTGGGGAGGGGAGGTGGATTTGGCAGGGGACATGGGAGAACTGCTGTGCCAAAATTAGGATTTAACCAGTGTGCTTTTTGCATGCAAGGTCACTGGGAGAATGAGTGTCCAAACCAGTTTTACCAAGGCAACCAGCCAAGCCAGGATCAAGATACTGCAAAATTAATGGTGCTGGGGAAATGCAGTAATTGACTAAATATGGGAAATACCAAGGAACCTTTTGTGACCATACAGCTAGGTGAAAGAGTAGTAAAATTCCTGGTGGATACGGGTGCCATGTATTCTGTACTGAATGATTTGCAAAGACAAATTGGGGACAAACAAACAACAGTAGTCAGGGCCACAGGGAAAGTGGAAAATTGGCCATTCCTACAACCCCTAGATCTGTGTTTTGGAAATAAGGTCCTGACGCATTAATTCCTGTATGTGCCTGAGTGTCCAATTCCCCTTTTAGGTAGAGATTTATTGGCAAAACTTGATGCGGTGATAACCTTTGAGAATGTGGAGCTTTTAATATAAATTCTTGAAATACAAAATTTTAGAAGAATGTGAATACACCTATATTTCTAGTGAGGAAACTCAGTGGTGAGTATAGACTATTGCAGGATTTGAGAGCAAAAAATGAAATAACTAAGGACATTTATTCAGTGGTTGCCAATCCTTACACATTGTTAACATCCATGAAAGAGACATATAAATGGTTTACAGTAATTGATCTAAAAGATGCCTTTTTCTGCATACCCCTTGACAAAGAAAGTAGGAACTTGTTTGCCTTTGAGTGGGAAAATCCAGGAAATGGAAGAAAGGCCCAGCTCACCTGGTTTCAAGAACAGTCCAACCCTATTCAGAAACCAACTGGCAAAGGAGCTGGACACCTGGACGGCAAGAGGGCAAGTACCAAGAGAACAATACCTGCTGCTACAGTATGTTGATGATATACTGATAGCCACAGAGGAGAAAACAACCTGCATAAAGGTAACAATTGAGATTTTAAATTCACTGGGAATGGGAGGATATAAGGTATTTAAAGAAAAAGCACGAATTGACCTACTGTGATTTACCTGGGATGTGAAATCTCACAAGGGCAGCGAAAATTTGGTACTAACCATATTCAAGCTATTTGTGCCATTCCAGAGCCCCAGAATCGACATAAGCTGCGAGTCTTCCTTGGGATGACAGGGTGGTGCCACCTGTGGATCATTTACCTGGGGCAAACCACAGAGGGAGACTTTCCTCAAACTAAAGGAGGCCTTGACAACTGCTCTTGCATTGGAGTTACCTGATTTGTCCAAAGATTTTCAGCTGTTTGTACATGAAAGGATGTGTCTGGCATTGGGAGTCTTAACCCAACGTTTGGGAAGCTGGAAAAGGCCAGTGGGCTACTTTTCCAAACAACTTGACAACGTCAGTGCTGGATGGCATTCATGTCTGCGGGCAGTCGCAGCCACTGTGATCCTGATACAAGAAGCCAGGAAGCTCACCATGGGAAGGCACATAGATGTCTATGTACCACATATGGTAACTACTGTGTTGGAACAGAAGGGGGGCCATTGGCTCTCCCTGAGTTGAATGATTAAATTCCAGGTAATCTTAATGGAGCAGGATGATGTAACATTAAAAACAACTAACCTTTTGAACCCAGCCTTGTTCCTAGGTACAACATCTGAAGAAAGCCCATTGGAACACGATTGCGTGGAAGTAATAGAACACACCTGTGCAGCTTGAGCAGATCTGAAAGATGTCCCCCTAGAACAGCCAGACTGGGAGTTGTTCACAGACGGAAGCACTTTCATGGAGAACGGAATCAGACACGCTGGATATGCGGTAACAACAATCAGTACAGTGATAGAGGCAAAAGCATTGCCACCAAATACATCTGCCCAGAAGGCAGAACTGGTTGTTTTAACCAGAGCAATAGAATTAAGTGAAGGGAAAAAGGTGAACATATGGACTGATTCAAAATATGCATTTGAAGTAGTGCATGTGCATGGGGCCCTATGGAAAGAACAGGGCCCGCTTTCATCTCAAGGGATGCACATTAAACATCAAAATGTAGTTCTGCAGCTGATAAGAGCAGTACAAAAACCTGAACAAGTAGCAATTATGCACTGTAAGGCACACCAATCAGGAAACTCCAAAATTTATGAGGGAAATCAAAAGGCAGATTGGACAGCTCAACAGGCTGCTCGAAAGGTGCAAACAGCAATGGCATTGGTCCCTTTAAAACTTAATGTATCTCAATTCAATTTACCTTCACAGCTGAAATATTCAGCAGAAAATGAGAAACTGGGACATTCGCTGAATGCACGGAAGAATCCAGAAGGGTGGTAGGTAACTGCACACGGACAGATAGTGGTACCCCCCTTGGTAATGAGAAAGGTTCTACAAATTAAACATAACAAATGTCATTGGGGTGCAGAGGCGTTGGTAAAGTTTCTAAAACGTTATTTGGTCTCAGTACGAATGTTAACAATGGCAAAATCAGTAATGTCGAAGTGTGAGATTTGCTTGAAAAATAACCCAGTGGCTAAACGACAGGCACAACTAGGAAGGATTTGGGTAGGGATAGAACCAGGAGATTATTGGCAGGTAGATTTTGTAGAACTACCAAGAACTAGAGGATACAAATATTTGTTAGTAGGGGTTGATACATTTTCTGGATGGCCAGAAGCCCTTCCCTGTCGCACGAACCAAGCAAAAGAAACAGTTAAGTGGTTACTACAAGAAATCATTCCCAGATTCAGGGTGCCTCTAGAGATAGCATCAGATAGGGGACCCCACTTCATAGCCACAGTGGTTAAAAGATGTAAGTAGGTTACTAGGAGTAACTTGGGACTTCCACACACCATGGAGACCCCAGTCAAGTGGACAGGTGGAGAGGATGAATCAGACACTAAAAAGGCAGATCAGTAAAATATGTTAAGAAGGCAAACTGCAGTGGCCACAGGCTTTACCAATAGCATTACTGAGAATCTGGATAAAGCCTAGGAGTGGGATGTCAGTCAGTCCTTATGAGATATTGTATGGGAAACCATATGAATCTCCTGGACCCAATCCAAATATACATGTCACGGGAAAACAGGAAGTATATAACCATGTTCTGTCTCTCGGGAAAACTTTAGCGTGACTTCAGAGCATCCTCATGTAGAATAGGCCACTGACTCTCGAGAATCCAGTTCATTACATAAATCCAGAAGACGAGGTGTACATTAAGAATTGGAATGAAGAACTATTGAAAGAAAAGTGGACTGGACCCCATCAGGTACTACTGATCACCTTTACAGCAGTCAAGGTAGCTGGAGTGGATTCCTGCATACACTACACTCGAGTGAAGAAAACCCATCCCGAACTGCTGACTGTGTAAACTGTGGGACCAACAAAGCTGCAGATAAGATGTGTTTAATTGTTTCAGGAATGTTACCAGTAATTGTACCAATGCTTATTTCATGGTCTTTGGGATGTGGAATGCAAAAAGATCAATTAACCACTCTTCATTCTAGAATGAAGAGAGGGGTGCAGGCAGAAACACAGGTGATAAAGGTTTCCAGTGCAATTTGGGCTGAGAATGTAATGATTGGATTCGTTAAAAATTTTGCCAAAATGCAGAACACTAGCAGAATAACTGCTTGTCTGCCAATACCTAAGGCAGAGGGAGACCCAATAAATTGGGGAATCATAATGACATTACTATCTGAAATACAAAAGAACAAAACAATTACATGCAAACAGGTACCAGAATCGAATCAAGACAGGTAATCAAGGTAACCTGGAAAGTAATAGAACAATGGTTACATCCTTTGAGTCAACGAGACTGTCTTCAAAATAATGGCACAATAGGATATCAAATAGAATGGGCAGGGGGCATCCCAAATCAATGGCAATGCTTCTTACCACATTATAAAAAGGTTACATAAAATGTTACAGAAACTACTCTAGTGTGGAAGTGCGAGGCAAAAGACCACAAAGGTTAAATAGAGCCTTGGGACACTGCATGGTCTCTGAGTATACTTCAAAAATTCCAGTACATGGCTACCACTCCTTCGTTCATTACATGGGAAGGTTCAGAAAATGAAACAGATCCAACAGTAGTGAACACTGCCACTAGTAGTAGAACAAAGGCAGACAAAGTAAGTTGGTGGACATGTAATAAAACATATAATTGCACTTCTGATGATAGAAATAAAACAAATTCCATGACTGGCAGTAGCCTTACAAATTGGTTGTGCCTGCAGAGGTATCAAACACAAACAGGGTAAAGTGAATTATAAAATACTTATAGGATGTACCAAGAGTACACTCTGAAGTCCAGGACAATTTGTATGGGCAACAAGTGATGGTACCTGGACAACCCATCTACCTGTAGACGGGAAAGTAAAAGAAATTACTTTAGGCCTCCCTACTTTTTGTCCAATTTGGGAAAGTCCCCATTTAAGGGAAAAGATGAACTTCTGCAGATAAGAACAAGACGAGAAGTTCCAGATAGTGAAAATCAAGATGCAACTTGGCAAGAACCCTCTAGTGGAGTGAAATTTATGTGGGCCTTAGAGTCTTTGCTTGGTCCTATAGCAAACTTATCAGAATAAAGAAATGTTGTACAAACTTTCAGGTCAAGTAGATAGACAGGCTAGGGTCACTAGGGAAGGATTTAAAGAACTAAACGTACAATTACAAGCCACCACAAAAATGACCTTACAAAATCGATTTGCTTTAGATTTGTTACTTCTGAAAGAGCATGAAGTGTGTGGATTTTTAAAGGGACAGATTGATCATTGCTGCATCCACATCCCAAATGTAACTGCAGACGTAGAATATGACATCAATAAGTTAAAACAAATAGAGCATGAAGTACAAGAAGAGCAGAAAGATTTGACTATGAGCTGGTTAGACAAAGTCTTTAATGGGTTAGGGTAGAATGTGAGTTCATGGATTAAGTCTATCATTGAGAGTGTAATAATCCTACTAATTGTGTTTTAGTAATTTGGTTAGTCTACAGTGTCCTAAAAGGAGAGATACAGAAGAGGACATCCTGGAACCGGAAAATAATCAAGGTACTGGCACAGCATCCACACCCATCATCCTCTGATCCTCCAGTCCATGACAATCAATCCTGGATTTGAAGAATGTCATGTATAAACTTAGAAACTAAAGACTGTATCAAGTGAAAATATTTGCACGTATAGTGAAGTGAAAATACTTTCAAAGATGAGAAAATGATAGTAAAAGGGTTTTAAAATCATGGGGATTTAGGGTTAACAGGAAAGTAAGCTTAGTAGGCCCTGGAAAAATAAATACCCTAAGCACATGAAGAACTTGTACTTGCTAGAACTGCACCTGTGTAGCTAGTACATGATAAATTATATAATTGTTAGATGTGATGATTGTTTAGTAATTAAATATAATTGCTGTTTAATTATAAGAATATTCATGAGAAACTGTGGTCAGGGACCTAAGAAAGATCACGAGAAACTCATGTCAATGTATACAATATAACAATATAAGTTTAATATGTAACTTATATAACGATAGAATATAAAATATGTTCAGCTCAAAAGCCATGTTGGAGTCAGATATGGGTTTTTACCCCTGACTCCCAGAGCTCTTAATAAAAGCACCTGCATATAATCATATCCTGTGATTATGTGTGTTCCAGAATGCTAACAGTAGTTCTATCCAATCACTATAAGCACACGTACCTTTAGTTAAAACAATGCTTGCTTAGTTAGAATATAACACTTGCTTGTAAGCCTCAAGATACAATGCACAGAGCTCCATTATTAAGCTTAGACTTTCTTAATATCTCACCAGATATACTTTTCTGCAACTTAGGAAATAGTTCTACTCAAGCATTAATACACAGACCATTGCTCTATTTGTTCTTTCTTTCTACTTCTTGTATAATTTTTCTGCTGACAAATCTTACAGCTACTGCTTAGTTCTAATCATCATCCTGCTGTCTCTGAGGCCTGCCTTTTGCAATGTGCCCAAAACCCTCTGATTTTAAGGAATCCCACAGGTATTTATATGTGCTGCATGAAGTAGTTAACTAAATCTCTGTGCAATTTGCTTTTCTTAGTTCAAAAGCATTTTTTGAAAGATAACTACCCCATGGTTACTTAGAAAATACTCTTACATGAGATAATTTTATTTTCTCCCTTGGTCTTTATATGCTGTTAATAAATGGTGTCACAAATTAAGTTAAAATACTAATGGAAAGATTACGAAATTACTGTGATAACAGGTTTATAATAATCAAAAGTAAAATAATGGTCCTCAGTTACTAGGCCTATTCTAAACACTGTCTCCTGTTTTAAGGCCAGATTCCAAAACAGTTTTCAAGTTTACTGCTTTTCCAACTATTATCCTAAAAAATTTTTTTTTCATCTTCTTCTCTGGACCATTGGTATATTCATTATCACTTACTGAATTTGCTGTTAAGAATTTTGTATTGTTAGGAAAATGGCTATTACCCATGATGCAATATTCTCTGGGAAGTTTTTTATTAGTTATTTGGTGGCTTACATACATTCCTGGCAACTTTCCTAGATTCCAGTTTCCTGGATGATAGTTATTTTTTTCCATCCACTTGGAAACTACTCTTCTTTTTTGGAAAGTCTATGCAAATAAGGTTTCACATAATTCAAATTAATTTTGGAAGGGAGAGGACTACTTATAACATGAAAAAGTTCTAATAAAGTTTGTTCTTAGATGACAAGGTTACCAATTAACTGCATTAATTGTTAGCTGAATTCTAAAAAGTGGCAAAAGATATAGAACATTCAGCAGTTACTTCTGTTATAAAGTAATTAATTTGTTTTCTGTCTTTATGCAATTGGTAAGAGCATCTAGAAACTACATTTTTAAATAAGAACATTCAGAGTTTAAATCTTGTAAGACAGTATGCAGAAAAAATAACTTTGTACTCTTTTTTATTAAAAACCCCTCTTTTATCTAGAAAAAGGTAAATAATTTATTCACCCAAAATAAAAGAAGAATCAAAATCTTGTGATACTAGCTGAAAAGTAAATCTGTGAAAAGCCAGGGACCTCATAACGTGGGACAGCTGGACAGGACAGAATGCACATCCAACCAATATGATTAATGCAACGTTCTCCATTTATTTGAGAGAAGATGGCAGTTTTATACACTTCTACATAGTTTACAGTTTGAAAGGCACTCTAATTGGCAAGCTAACATTGATTATCTTTGTCTTAAGGTGGTCAGACCTTTCACACTGCAGCTCTACTCTAATTTGCACTCAGATAGCTGATTACTTTGTAGTTACCGTAACATAATTTCTAACTGCGCCACAAACTCTTAATTTCTAACTGCATCAGAGGCTGGAAGGCCTTGCAAGGCCCAAATCTGAAGCCTTGACTGGAGTAGCTCAAATCTCATTCCAAACATAAATCATGACCTCTGTCTCTCAGAAATGTTGCAACATCTGCGTGTAAGCTTGAATGGCTGTGTTGAGCTATGACTTTATATGCAGGTGGAACATGACTGATCAGTTTCTGGGATTTCAATTTTGGTTCAGGATTTAATTTTATTTTAGGATTTCAAATCGTCCAGTGCCTAGGCAAGATCATGTGATTTAGCACCCAAGCCTATTGTGCCATGGAAAATCTCTCATTTACTTCACCAGTATATGCCTGTATCCATTAATATTTCTTATATATTGTAAGAAGAATAGTTGATTACATGGGCAGACAAATACTGGGCTTTGATCCTGAGTGATCATGCATGGTGTAGATTCCTGATCAGAGTCCATTAATCAAATAAGTGTCATAAAAGATTACTCCTATGAAATATGAAATATACAGAGACTGTATATTCAGAGACAGTAAACAGAGACTGTTGTTATCATGCTGGCATGGTAGCGTGGAGGAAGGTTTTAGAAAGGCCTTGGGAATGGTAAACTGAGGAAAAGGATACATTCATGTATGCCCCATTGTATTAGAAAGGCCTTGGGAATGGTAAACTGAGGTAAAAGATACATTTATGTATGCTCCACTGTTTTGGGAAAGTCCCGCTTCAGCATTCCTCTGTAAACCCCCTTCTCCCCACCCCTGAGCAGTTCCCATTGGACCTGGCCCCTGGGGTGGTTCTGATGTGCCTTAGCTGAACACTGTCTCTATTGTTTAATACTTATCTCTTAATTTTGCTGTATAAAACTGTATCTGGGCAATAGCCCGGGGCCTTTGGTCCCTGCAACGCTTCAGACAATACAATCTCTCTGGACAAGCATACCATTGGTCTCTCTTGGTCTCTTTATCTCGAATCCTAGCGGCGACTGAGGCAACGCCGCAGCTCGAACCGTGCTAACCCAGACGCTGCCTGGTAAGCCCAGGGCAGCGGGACCGTGGAAAACCCCGGCCCCGGAGGGGACAGCTAGCCGGAGGGTCCCGGGGGGCCGGGGAGGGACGGGGGACAGCGGCGAGTAACCCCCGAGAGCAAAGTGGCGGTCGAAAGAGAAGCAACAAGAGTCCCCATGCTTTCAACAAGGTGAGTTACGTGGAAAAACTAAATAGTAGATGAAAATTCCTTGCTTAAAAATTCAAAATCAGTTTGATTTGATTCAAATTATTGTGATTTGCCGTGCTCCCGCCCCGGTTCCCTTTTCTCTCAGCCCCGGCTAGCTCTTGTGGGGCGAGGGCGGGCGATGGAGGCACCCTCCGCCGCTCCCAGCTGGGGTTTGGAGAGTG